CACTTGATCGTGCTTATGTGAAACCTGTGCTTGGACCATGAAGCAGTCCTCAGAATAGAGCAGGGAAACACAGCATGGTTCAGAATCAGGAAAGGAGTGTGTCAGAGATGCAGTCTCCATATCTTTTCAATCTATATTCAGAACAGATCATTCGGGAAGCAGGGCTTTATAAGAAGGAATATGGCATCAAGATTGGAGGAAAACTCATCAACAACCTACATTATGCAGATGACACAACTTCGCTGATACTGAAGAACACCTGATGCGCTTGCTGAAGAAGGTTAAGGACTGTAGTCTTCAATATCAAGCTCAACATCAAGAAGACAAAGATTCTCACCACTGGGTCAACTAGCAGCACTATGATAGATGAAGAAGTGATTGAAGTTGTTAACAATTTCAGCTTGCTCGGCTCCACAATCAACACTCTTGGCATCAGAAGTCAGAAAATCAAAAGACGAATTCCATTGGGAATATCTGTTGTCAAGGATCTCTCCAGAGTGCTGGAAAGCAATGATGTCATTCTAGAGACTAAGGTGAACCTAATCCAGGCAATGCTCTTTGTAATTACTTGTTATGCCTCAGAGAGCTGGACAATGACTAAGGATGACAGAAGAAGAATCAATGACTTCAAGTTGTGATGCTGGAGAAGAGTCTTGAACAGGGCAGGGTTCAGAGCGACCCTATGTACAGCAGCAGCTCTGAACGTTGCCCTGTCCTGATCGTTGATGTCACTGATTCTGACACACCAAACTCATCAACCCATCTCATCCAGGGTCTTCTTCTCCTTTGTTGTCCCTCCACCCTCCTAAGCATGATGTCCTTCTCCAAGGACCAGTCTCTCCTGGCCACATGCCCACAGTATGGAGCTTCAAAATCTTAGCCTCCAAGGAGAAATTTGGTTTCATTCTCTCCAAGACAGACCTGTTTGTTTTCTTGGCAGTCCATAAGACTGCTTCAGTACCACAGCTTGAAGGCACTGATTGTTTTTTTTTTTACTAATTTATTTACAAAATTATAATACAAATCAAACAAATCAAACAAATTCTTTCAAGTTCCCTCATCCCCTCATCAAATTGTACAGTCCAATGATTAATCCCCTCTTCCCCCGGTACATCCACATCCCTCTGCTTCCAGCCTCTCCCACCCCTCCTGGATCCTTATATTCATTCTACAATAATGGCCTTATACAATATTTATCCTTGCGGGACTGAGTTAGTTCACTCAGCATAATGCTCTCCAGTCTCTCCCAAGTTAGGTAATAATTTACAAAGTTATTGCTCCTGGGTGCTGCATAGTATTCCATTGTGTGAATGTACCATAATTTCTTATTCCATTCATTTGTGGTTGGACATTTGGGCTGTTTCAATGTTCTTGCAATGGTAAATAATGCTGTTATGAACATTGGTGTACAAATCTCAGTATGAGCCTCCTTTCTCATATTCTCAGGGTATATTCCAAATGGAATTTCTATGTTCAGCTTTTTTGAGGAAGCGTCAAACTGCCTTCCAGAATGGTTGCACCATTTTACAATCCCACCAACAATGTAGAAGAGTTCCTTTCTTGCCACATCCTCTCCAACATCTATTACTTGCTTCCCTGTTAAACTTTGCCACTCTTACTGGAGTGAGATGGCACCTCATTGTGGTTTTGATTTGCATCTCTCTTATTGCCAGTGATCTGGAGCATTTCTTCATGTGTCTATTTGCCATTCTAATGTCTTCCTCTGTGAAAATTCCTTCCATGTCTTTTGCCCATTTTGTAGTTGGGTTATCAGTCTTTTTCTTGTGGAGGTCCAGGAGTATTCTATAAACTTTTGTTATAAGACTCTTGTCTGAGATGGTATTACCAAATATTTGTTCCCAGTGTGTAGGTTTTCTTTTCACTATGTTGGAAAAAAATTTTTATGTACACAGAGTTCTAATATTTAGAAGGTCCCATGCATAAATTTTATCCTCTTTAGATTGTGCACTTTTGGTTGTATGTGGCAGTCTCTTTATACCTTGGACTAGAGCTTCTAAGCTTGATCCCAGTTTGTCTTTGAGCGTTATGGTTTTGGTCTTACTCCTAGGTCTTTGATCCACCTTGAGTTGACTTTTGTGTGTGGTATGAGATGTGGATCCTGTTTCAGCTTTCTGCAGACAGGAGTCCAGTTTTGCCAGCACCATTTGTTGAAGAGGTTTTCATTTCCCCATTTGATATCATTGATTTCCTTGTCAAATATCAGTTGACCATAGATAGCTGGGTCTATTTCTGGGTTCTCAATTCTGTTCCATTGGTCGATATGCCTGTCATAGTACCAGTGTCATGCTGTATTACTGCTGTTTTGTAGGTTTTGAGGTTCAGCGAGTGCTATACCTCCAACTTCATTTTTGTTTCTCAGAGTGTTTTGCTTATTCAGGGTCTCTTGTTCTCTAAACAAATGTGATAATTTCCCTTTCAATTTCCTTGAAAAATTAATTTGGTTTCTGGATTGGGATTGCATTGAACTAAACATTGCAACTTGCAGCTTGAATTTGTTTTCTATTTCCTCAGCTTAAGAAATGCCGAGCCAGTTTGGCTCATTTGATTTTCCAACTCCATCTCCTTGCACATATCATTATAAATACTTTGCCTTGTCTTCCCAAATTGCCTTTTTAAATCTTCTATTCAGCTCCTTAACTTCTTAATTTCTTCCCTTTGCTTTGGCTTGTCGGTATTCAAGTCCAATATTCAGAGTCCCTTCTGACATCTATTTTGGACTTTTCATCTTCCTTCTTTGTAATGACATTTTACATTCTTTACGAATGATATTCTTGTTATCTTCCCACAACTCATCTGGTCTTCGTTCATTAGTATTCAAGGCCTCAAACCTGTTCCTGAGTTGGTTTTTAAACCTATCCACCTAGAATCCTGGTCCTAGGCTCTCTCCAACCTTCCCACATCAGAGACCACCAACTCACTCCCTCTACCCTCACACACTGTTTTCAGGCCTCAATTCTCCCAATGAGAACCTGTATTACAACATTCCAAACTGCCCTTCTTGTCCTTCAAGAGTCAGGACACTGAGGACACCGAGACCTGGAAGTTTTGCTCTTCTTCCCCTAGGCTCCCAGCTCTGCTGAGGTGCCTGCTGTCTAGGCCTCTCTCCCCAGGCTCTGTGCCTTTTGGGCACTCAATTCCACCTCTTCCCTCTTGGATACTTTAACAAACTGGGTTTATTAGAATCTAACTCTGTTGGCCTAATGGCAAGAAGCTGCGCTGCAATCCCAAAAACATATGTATGGTTCTGCACTACAATCCCGGAGGTATGCAGTTTGAATTCACCAGATGTTTTTCTGGAGAAGGAGGGACAATCTCCTCCCACACCAGTCAGATCTGATTTGATGGTACACACAAAAGATAATAAAAAAAAATCAAAGAAAAACTAAAAGAAGCTGCACTGCAATCCCAAAAGTATGTGGTTTCAACTACCAGCTACTCCTTGGGAGACAGATGGGCAAGCTCCTTTTACACTATTAGCTGCCTCTGAAAACTCTTGGAAGGGTCAGCTATGGGTAGGTTCAAGCTCTACGGTACACAACAACAACAACAGTGATAGGTCAAGGGAGTTCTGGCGGGTAAGTGGTAAGAAGTTGGTTGCAATTCCAACTAAAAGACAGCCCAGCAATTGGAATCTACCAGCTGCTCCATGGAAGAAAGATGTGCAATCTTTTCCTATGCTATTTAAAGTCTCTGATAACCCCTGAAGAGTCAATTACGAGTCTATTCCAAACTGGAAGGTCCATAACAACACCAGACAGAGCAGACAGCCCTGGAAGCATAACCCTTTAGAGACGTGCACTGATAACCCGAAGGCCCAAGCGATGTACAGCCTGGGAAAACTGGCTGGAGGCTCAGCTATGATTCAGTTCTCAGTCCGTGGCAGGGAGTTCGCGTTGATAGACCATAGATCTCATCTGTTGCTCAGAGTTACTACATAAACAAGTTTGACGGCCTAGCCCATAGGAAGTTACGTTGCTTACCCAAAGACTGTTCCTCACTGGAAATTCGAGCTCAAGCTGCTCTGAGATAGAAAGATGGGCAGTCTTCTCACAACCTTGAAAGCCCAATGGAGGCCCAGCTCTGAGTCAATTCTAACTCAACGGCAACGAGCTAGATGAGCTGAGTTACAACCCTACATGGCCGGCCTGCTTTTCTTTCTTTTCATGTTATTTGTAAGGTGAGTCCTCCAAAAGTCCTGGCGTTGAAAGTCGCTTGAGTTTTACACATGTCACCTGTCAGCCCAGAATACAGCAGATCATATGAGTGAATAATGTCTAGATGATGAACGAATCATTTGCTTATCCCTGTATAGAACCAGGGAGCTCTGGTGGCCTAGTGGTAAGAAGCTGAGCTGCCATATCAAAGGCACACAGTTCGAATACATATCAGCTGCTCCATGGGAGGAAAAACTGGTAATCTGTGTGATATTTACAGCCTCTGTACATGACACAAAGAACTAGGTGGAGTCTCAATCTATCTATGGAGGGTAACTGTGGTGGAAAACGTAGGCGCTCGCGTGCGCTGGGGAGCGCGCGGTGGGGGTACGCGCTGGGAGGCGGGGCTCGCGGGGGTGCGAGCCGGGGGAGGGCGGTGCTCGCCGGTGGGGGGACGCAGGACTGAGCCCCAGGGGCCGAGCTTAGGGCGGGGGACGGGGCGGGCCAGCCAGGCAGGACCCTGCGAGGAGCAGAGGCCAAATTTCGCTTTCGCTTTGGGCAGGTCTGGAGGCGGCGGGCGGTCCCAGAATGACTGCACCGGGCACCCCAGAGTTAATCCGAAAGCCAACAAGCCCCGCAGCTCAGACCCCACGTGTCACCAAGAAGCTGATGTAGAGAGAGACAGAGAGAGAAAGAAAGCAACACGCAGAGTCCCGGGAAAGTCCTGGCGTGGCTTTGGGGCAATTATAAAAATGTGACCTCTGGGCCTCGCAGCCACCGCCCTCACCTGCCACATCCACGTCGCTCTGCCGCCGTCTGTGCATCATGTGCCCGCCGCGCAGTGAGTACCCGACCCGCTGCGCTGCTGGCTCCAGGGAAGGGGTGGCGGCCAGGCGGGGCACAGAGCCGGGCAAGCTAACGGGGAGCTGGAAGGCCATCCACAGGCCTGTGCAAAGGGAGAGAGTGGAAGGAACGACAAGGAAGTACTGGGAGTTTGTCTTGAGCTAAGTAGAAGTCGGTTCTCCCATAAACCTTGAATCAGCTGTAGCTGTAAGGAGGTGCAGCCTAGCCTAGCCGCTGCAGAGCTGCCCACCGCTTGGCCACACTTTTTCCAAGATACACAACTGTGAGTCAGGGCTAGTCACTTCACTATCAGATCTTAGTTTTCCTATTCGTGAAATGGGGCATTCGTTCTCTGAACCCACCACCCCTTCTCAGCTCACCCAGGAGCCACTACAAGATGCTAACGAGCTGTCACTGAGTGGAGTCCAGCTCGTGGTGACCATGTGTGCTGATTTTCGATGACTTGTTTGATGGCTAGGTTCTTCCGAGATACTACTCTTAAGCAGCTTTGAACCCCTCACTGTTCCCATTAGCAGCCAAGGGCATTGACCCTTTGCACTACACAAAGATCGCTCACAGTGAGCTAGCTAACATCTGCTTTTTCATGAGAGCCGCGGCTTTCTAAGAACTCAGTTCATCCCTCAAGTTTTGGAAAACAGTTGGAGATGGGAAGGGTGGGGCTGATGCAGAGAAGATGAAGGGCGAAGGTGCCAGGCTGGGTGAAAGAGGCAAGCCCAACCATGGGCATCAATCCAGCCTGCCCCTCGCTCTTGTCCAGGTGTTCTCCTCGTGGTCATCCTCACTCTCCTGGCCCATCTCAACGTGGCCAGAAACCTCCCAGAGGCGGCACCTGGGCCCAGAACATTCGAATGCCTCAGCCACTCTCAAAACCTGCTGAAAGCTGTCAGCAGTGCACTTCACAAGGTGAGTACTCAATTCCGCTTCTCTGTGGAGAGATCCTCGAGTCCTGGGGAGGGACTGCAGTGACACTGTAGAAGGTAATCAGAAGCTGTCAAGAAGGGGAGAGAGAACTTTACAAATGGCCAAACTATTAGCTAAAGAGTCTCAATGAAATTGTGTCTCCAGAGAAGATGAGAGTGGTAATAAATTATAATGGCTGTGTCTACACAGAGGAAAGGGGATATTTACAGAGCTTTTCACAGCCTGGTAGCAAAAATGGAGTAGTGTCAGGTCCACACTGCTTCTCTGGCACCACTTATCAATCCAGGAAGCAGGTCTTAGATGCGTATTCTGTGGGGCTGCTGAGATGAATTAGACCTGTCCCTTGCTTGGCTGTCCTGTTCCAAGTCTGATGACAAGAGCAAGAAGTTTGGGATGATGTATGCCCAGCCTTCATTTTAATTAAACATTTTTATTTAAAAATGAGTCAGAACTGGCACATACTTGACGTTCCAGTAGGTTTTCAGAGACTGTAAACCGTATGTAAGAAAAGTGTCCATGTTTGTTTCAAGAGCAGCTGGTGGATTCAAACCACCTATGTTTAGGCTGGCAGTACAGTTCTAACCGCTAGGGCACCAGAGCTCCCTGTCTATATTTTTGTTGTTTTTATTGTGTGCCATCAAATTATAAACCTTATTTTAATATAAATTTTTCTTTCCTTTTTGGAAGTCTTCTATTGCTTTTGCTGCAAAGGCCAAAGACTATTGTCTTAAAAGATGACCTTTTGCCTTCCTGCTCAATAGTAAATCTCACTTGGCTAGATTCTAGTTTGTTGTCTTGTGACTATCTTCAAAAAGCTTAGGGTTAATCTTAAAGAGCTCTTTCCCTCCTTCAGATCCTTCATAATATGCTGCCAGCTGCTCCTGACAGTTCAATCAATCGTAATTAAAAGGGCAGTTCACCGGTGAACATGGCAGAAATAGTTTTGATTCCTGAAGAAAGGTTCAATAGGGATAATATTTAAGAGCTGTGATTTAAATAAATGCTTTAAATGAAAAAAACTAACTCATACAGTACAGTCCTGAAAGTCAAAAGACTATGGAACTCAATTTAATATTTTAAAAAATACCATTCCTTTGTTAAATTTGCCAGTGTAAATCGACTGGCTGCTGCAGGAGAGAGAGAGAGGTGCCAAATGTATGTAATTCACAGGCCAGGGGAAGCTCATAAACCTATATATAAAATATATAAAGAAATGTAAAAACATGTTTACATGTTAATATGTTTATATTACTGTTTATATGTTAAAAGTATAATACATACATATCTCTATATATCTGACTCAATGATACACAAGAATGTGTGTGTGTATATGTGAATATATATATATAGTTGATTGCCACCAAGTCAAGCATGACTCATAGCGACACTGTAAAGCAAAAGACCTCAAGCCTTTCTATCTATGAACTTGGAGAAACAGTGATAGTTATAGAAAAGCTTCAGGTATTTTGTTTATGGGATTGCTATGAGTCGTGCCTGACTCGACAGCAATCATCAACAACAGTAACACATGCTCTAAAGGAGATCTGGTGGCTTAGTGGAGAGGATTGTACTGCCATCCCCAAAGCAAGCGGTTTGAATCCACTAGTTAGTTGCTCCAGAGGGAAAAGATTGGCAGCCTCCTCTTGTGTGATTAACAGCCTCAGAAACCTGCTGGAGTATCAGCTGTGAGTCATTTCCAATTTACTGGCATACAACAGTGATGGCTCTATACTTAGGGAACTCTGATAGCCTAGTGGGTAAGGAGTTGCACAGGCAACCCAAAGGCAGATTGTTCAAATCCACCAGCTTCTCAGTGAAAATAAGCTGTGCACTCTCCCTCCACACAATTTAAAGTCTCCAAAAACCTGCTGGGGAGTCAATCTGAGTTGGTTCTGATTCAATAGCAATGAGGTTGAGAAAATATTTATCATTTGGCCATTGAAGTTGATGTAATTTTTAAAATAGGGCCTTTTATATAAAAGTCTCAGTTTCTAGATGTTCACAAAAAGATCTGAAAATTTGCAGCACTGGGCCTGCATTTCCAAATCTGACTTCATACAACTTGCCAAGAAGAGTGGTTGCCCAATTCTGCTTAACCACCTCCAAGGGACAATCAAGTATCACAAACGTAATAGCTTTAAAGAACACAAATTTATGAGTACATCTCTAGGATCAGAAGTCTGTAACAGTTTAAAATCAAGATGTCAGCAGAGCTGTGATCCTCCTGAAGGTTCTAGGGCAGAACCCATCTTCCTGCCTTTCTCATCTTTCAGTTGTTGTTTTCGGTGCGCTGACTCACAATAGCTCAAGTAGCACAGAGTCAAACCTTGCCTGGTTCTGCACCATCCTCTGGGTCTTGGCTGTGCTGCAGCCCATTGTTAATGGGCATTATGTTGATCCATCTCTTTGAGAAGTTTCCTCTTATTTTACTGACCCTCCACTTTTCCAAGCCTCTCTCCTTCAGAGAGAATGGAAGCCATATTGCACCTTCAGAGTGGAGATGGTGAGGCTTTGTCTCACTTTCTTTGGGCATGTTGTCAGGAAAGGCCACCTTGAAGAGGCAGCCTGTGTCCCTTGGCTTGTGGCCTCTTCAGAAGGCAACAAAAGCTAGTCAAGTCTTTCTCACATAGCATCAATCTGATCTCCCTTCTGCCTCCAGCCTCCATGTGTAAAGACTCTGTGATTACGTTAAACCAATCTGGATTGCAGGATAATCTTAGTACCTTCATTCCCTCTGCCATCTCAGGTAATGTTTTCACAGATTCCAGGAAATAAAATGTGGGCTACTTTTCCCACCACAGAGTCTTACTGCATGTTTCCAACATTTACAGTTTCAGACCTGAGTCATGACTCATTCATTTTCCTTCTCTATTTGTCAGCATCCTTTTAATGCAAATACCCCATCTCTGGGAAAATCTCTGTCTCTTTTTCCATCCCCACCCCCTAAACCTTACTAGTTCTTAACACTACCAACCACGGGCATGTCTGATAGTCACCTGAGTCCCGTTCTTGTCTCCACTGTTGCTGTTGTTGTGTGCCACTGAGTTAGAACCAACCCATAGCTGACCTTCCAGTGGATTTTCAGAAGCAATAAATCTCATGGGAAGAGATTGCCCATCCTTCTCCCTCAGGGCAGAGGTGGATTTGAACCATGTGTGTATGGGATTACAGTGCAGCTTCTTGCCATCAGCCCTCCCTGTCTTCACTTGTTGCTAATTGACATTGAGTTGAGTACACCTCATAGCAACCTTGTGAATAGCCATCCTGAACTTTGCCCTTTCCTGTTCCATCTTCATCATCTCTGACATGCGAGAGCCTATTGCTGAAGTCACCTTGTCAATCCATCTTATTGAGGGTCTTCCTCTCCTTCACTGACCCTCTATCTTTCCAAGCATGATGTTCCTTTGCAAAGAATAGCCTCACCTAGCTATATGTCCAAGGGATGAAAGACAAAGCTTTGCCATTTTTACTTCCAAGAAGCATTCTGGCTACACTTTTTACAGAGCATAAATGTTTGTTCCCTTGGCAGTCACTGGTATGCTCAAGACTCTTCTTCAACACCACAGCTCAAAGGCATTGATCTGTCATACTTACTTGTTGTCCAGCTCTCTGATGCTTAGCAGGTGACGGAGAAGACCATGGCCAGAATCAAGCGAACTTTGGTCTTCAAACTGACATCATTGCTCTTCAGCATTTTTGAGAGGTCCTTAATAGTGGACCTGATACTGTGGTCCCTGATACTGTCCCTGACAGTGTAATATGTTGCCTGACTTCCTGACTGCTGGAACTAAAGGTCCATGACTACATATGAAATCCAGGAAGAAAAGCAGCCCTTTTGTTCATTCTTTTCCTTCATACTGCCATGGAATGAAACTTGCTGGATGGAAAACTTATCTCAGTTTCAGTGTTGTTGTTGCTGTTGTTTGGTGCCATTGAGTCGCATATGACCAACACTATAGACAAAAGATCTGAACCCTGTGCCATCTTCAGACTTCCTGACACACACAAGCCCATTGCAGCAGTCACCACATCAATCCACCTGTCAATCCATCTCCTTTGCCAACCCTCCACCTTTCCCAGCATCATGTCCTTCTCCAAGGAATATCACCTCCTAGAAACATGTCCAAAGTATGTGAGGCCTCATCATTCTTGCTTCCAAAGAGCACTCTGGCTGCACCCTCTCCAAGACTCATGCCCCAGCTGGGGCCATATGGTGCCAGCCTCATGGAGGCTCTATTCGTTCTCTTGGCTGTCCATAAGATGTTCAGTGCTCTTCAACACTACAGCTCAAAGGTGTCAATTCTTCTTCTGTCATCTTTATTAATTGTACAGGTCTCAGATGCATACCAAATAATTGGAAAGGCTATGGCCTGAATCAGACATACCTTAGTCCTCAAACTTATATAATTACTCCTCAATAACTTGGAGAGGTCCCTAACAGCAGATTTTTCCAGTGAAATATGTCTCCTAATTTCCTGACTGCTGGAACCAAGGGTGTTAATTGTGGATCCAAGTTAAGATGAAGCTGTTGTCAGTTTCAATCTCTTCTCTATCCATTATGATGTTGCCTAGTTGTCCAGTGGTAAGAATCTTTGTTTTCTTGATATTGATATGCAATCCATACTGAAGGCTACGTTCTTGGATCTTCTAAGATAAATTTCTAAATTGTATTTAACAATGTCTTCTCACCTGTTTATAAAATGGCAATTCACTCTCTTACTCTCTCTCTGTTTATGTGTTTCTGTCTCTGAGTGTGTTTCTCTGTCTCTCTCGCTGTCTCTCTCTCTCTCTCTCTCTGTGTGTGTGTGTGAGAGAGAGAGAGAGAGAGATTAAATCACAACTTGTCTTTCAGGGCTTTATGTTTGTTACATTCATCAAGTTATGACCTTCACAGTTTCCCCTTTAGAAATTATAGTTGAAAAAGATTCTCACATTTTGACAAAACAAAAAGGGGGGGGGAAGCACAACACAAACCCCAATCTGTTTTCACCAGAAGCAAGTGTCACAGTTTGGTATAGATGCTTATTAGCACACCCTGTTGAAATGATTTATAGTGGATACAAAATGGAAAAATATGTCATCCAGGGAAATATGTCCTCAGCAAAGTGAGGATGATGGGAGAGAGAATTAAAACAGCACATTTTCCTTGTCTTCAGAAAGGCCAGGATTCCTTGCAGGTTAAAGAGATGGGAGGCTCATGCCCCAGCTGGGGCCGTAGGGTGCCAGCCTCATGGAGAGCCCGATGCCATGTAACTGTTATAAACTGAGCTTCTCATCATATTTTCTGCAGGCCATACAAACCCTAGAATTTTATGCCTGCACTTCTGAAGAGATTGACCATGAAGATATTACAAAAGATAAAACCAGCACCGTGAAGGCCTGCTTACCCCTGGAGTTAACCATGGTACGTTGCTGCTGTTCTCCTTGTCAGCTGCCATTGAATTGGCACTGGCTCACGGCCACCAGTGTACAATGGACAGTATCACCCAGGCCCACGCTGTCTTCACCACTGGCCATATGCCCAAGTCAGTTGTAACCACCGAGTGTGGTATCTCCTGACTCTGGGAACTCATCTGGATGGTGCTCAGTGGTGATCCATAGAGTTTTCACTGAATAATTTCCAAAGTTGGTTGTCAGGCCTTTTCTGCCTGTGCATCTTTGTCTGGAAATTCTGCTGAAATTAGTCTACTCTGAATGATCCTCCGAGCATGTGAAACACAGGAAACTGTTTCTAGCATAGTAATGCCAAACCCACTGGTGTCCAGCTCACAGCAAAGCTGTAACTTTTTATGGGAGAAGATTGTCCCATCTTCATCCTGAAAAGCAGCTAGTGGACTCAAACTGTTGACCTTTCAATTAGCAATGCCACATGATACACACCACAAGTAACACACCGCCAGGCCTCCGTCTCCAGCATCATGACAGGCATGGCATACAGGTGGTGGAAACAGACAACAGAGAATATATTCCACCCCCCCAAATAGTGTCATAAAATTTAGAACAGTGCATCAAACCTCTTCCAATAATTTGCATATTTCTGTTATGGGTCATCCATGGAATTTTAACAGATCTCATTTCAACACTTCAGAAAGTAGATTTAAAAAATAAAATATGCTTTTAAAAAAACCATGTGCTTTAGAAAAAGATTATGAGACAGTCACATTATAAATTAATGTTGTTTATGTCTGATTTTTTTTCTAGAATGAGAATTGCTTGCCCTCCAATGAGACTTCTTCCATAAAAGTAAGCTAATAAAAATAAAGACTTCAATCCATTGGATGAAGTCATATCATGATGTTTGATTTTTTTTTCCCTTTTAGGATGAGAGTTGCCTGACTTCCAGAAAGACATCTTTTATGATGGTAAGACTCAAAACTCTTTCTTCAGATGCTGGTGTGAACAAGGCTGTACGTTGTCTCATTGGTTCCCGCCCTTTTGTCATGTCTGCTAGACCCTGTGCCTTAGCAGCATCTATGAGGACCTCAAGATCTACCAGGTGGAGTTCAAAGCCGTGAATGAGAAGCTTCTGATGGACCCCAGCAGGCAGATCATTCTGGATCAAAACATGCTGGCAGCTATTGATGACCTGATGCAGGTAAGACCTCCCTTCTTTTGGTGAGAGAGGCTTCCTCAATGATGAAGATATCAGACAGGGTTCCCCAAAAGGTATGAAATCTGCCTTTTCTGGAGGGGAGATAAGGTCTGAATCCCCACTTTGAAAATCCCTGCAATGAACTCTGGCGGTACAAAAAGTTAATTGCTCAGCTGCAAGCAAGGTTGATTCAAACTCACTTAGTGACTTTCAAAAACAATCACCACCAGAGATGTGGCAATGTGCTCACAAAAAAGAGACCAAGAAACCATAGAAAGCCTCACACTTACTGCTTGTGATTTGGAATCAACTTATAACTGACCCTCCGGTGGGTTTTCCATGCTGTAAATCACATGGGAGTGAATGGCCCACCTTCCTCCCACAGAGTTGCTGATGGGTTTGAACCTCAAGAGAGGAGAAGCCTTTGGGGTAGAAGTACAGTTCCCTCCAGATTAAGCCACTAGATTATAGTTGAATAAAACCTGTGTGGCACTCTGTCACTAGGGGTAGCTATGAGTTGAAAAGGAACTCCAGGGTGCCCAATGGCAACCAAATCCTGCAGAGCCAGCTACCTTTTCAGAGAGAAAACCTGAGGGTGCCTCCTGCTGCAAGAGAGAAGAGGAGCTGAGCACATTAGGCAAATCAGCCTTCCTTTGCTTGAACAAAGGCCCTGGGAGAGGCAAATGGTCATGTGCTCAGCTGATAACTGAAAGGTGGTAGGTTCAAGTCCACCTAGCGGTGCCTTGAACCAAAGGCACAGGGAACTACCTCCAAAAATCAACCACTGAGAATGCTGTGAGCACAGTTCAGCTTTGACACCCATGGGCCAGCACAGCACCCTCTTGATTTGTGAGTTGTGTGGCACATACTAGGCTCCCTGAAAAAGCTTTCTCACAACAGCTATGTGGATACCAGTTTTCCCCATGGTACCAAACAGGAAAGGTAAAACCTCCTGTCAGAGATCACAAAGTTTATAAATGGCAAAGCGAGAATTTGAACCATTGGTTCAAAGGGATCTCATCAAAAAGATCTCATCAGTCCCTTCTCTAAGACCCAGAGTATATGGGCCAGGGGCCAGCATGCATAGTTACACATTTTTCAAGACAAAGCAAACAAGGATGAAGCAGTTATGAACCAGATGAAGGAGTGGTCTATCATCTGACGGCATCTACAATGTTTTCAATAGGCAAGAACACAATCAGACCGCATAGTGCTAACACAATCACAGAAATAGTCATACAAGGGCAGAGAAAGTGCTTCGGTGAGCAAGGCTTACGATCAAAACATGACAGGAATCACTGTGTGAGAAGGAATTATTCACGTATTTATATATCACATGACTAAGTATCTGTTTGGAAGGCAGTGAACTTCATGTAAGTAACTAATAATGTTGCTATCTATAGAGACTGTATATTTTATATGTCACTTTTTTAAGCCCTTATAATCAAGAGTCCAGTGACTTGAACTCTGGATTCAGTCTAAACAACTGTGATCAATCTCTACATTCCCTCTGTGCCTCAGTTTTTTCCTTTCTATAAAATGAGAAAAATTTACCTACCCTAGCCTAGTGCGTAAGGAGCTGTGCTGACAACCCAAAGGCACATGGTTTGAGTCCACCAGGTGTTATATGGGAGAAAGATTAGCAATCTCTTCACATGCAGTTTCCAGCCTTTGCTGGAGGGTCATCTAAAAGTAGGTTCTGACTTGATGGCAGTGAGTCACTATTTTTGTTTGTTGAGTCTCTAGGTAGTTAACACAATTTGCCTTTGGCCCTTAACCTAAAGGTTGACAGCTCAGCCCCTCCTAACAGTACCAGAACCGTACCCAACAGTACCAAAAGATGGACCTCATGATCTCTGTCCACTGAGATTATTACCATGAATGCCCTGTGGAGATGTTCTCCTCTGTAACACATGGGGCAACCTCAGCTCAGCAGCAACTCACAGTAGCACATTAGGTGCTTTTTGGGTTTTTTGTTTTGTTTCGTTATGTTTATGAGGAGCAAGTGAAAATATTGTGGAAAAATAAAGTCTTATATTTTGTAACTCAAAAGACTAAAGTGGAGAAATCCACTGTCAGGTGAACTTGCCTGACACAAATGAAATGTCTGTGCTCACTTGTTCCGTTGCTGATAGAAGAAGTTCTGATCATTAGCATCCGTCACCTTCCTAGTCTAAAAAGAACGTGGCTTCCTAATGTACCATAGATACAAATTAATTTGGAATTGCAGCAGATGTCATCTTAACAGATTGTTCTTCCTAAAGTGCAGCTCCATCTGATGGTTTTCTGAATAGCTCCCAGGGTCGTTTCTGAATGCACTGAAGCTGCACGCGCCCAGATAACGAGCCATCTCCTCCCAGGTTGTGCTTTCCCATCTGGCTGGGAGCAGATTCCGTATGGCATTAGGAGATGTGATGAGGGAGTGGTTTGCAGACTCAGAGACATGTATTGGCTACCCCCACTTTTATGGTTGAATGTTTTAATTTAAGAAAACCAGAAATGTCACACTCAGTATTCACTCTCCTAGGCCCTGAATTTCAACAGCGAGGAAGTGCCGCAGAGATCCTCCCCTGACGAGCCGGATTTTTATAAAACTAAAGTCAAGCTTTGCATACTTCTCCATGCTTTCAGAATTCGTGCTGTGACTATCGACAGAATGATGAGCTATCTGAATTCTTCCTAAAGAGCTGTGCCTACAGACTTTAAGTCACTTTACTAGAAATCTGAACCAAAGATAATTTAGCAGGATATGGGTGAGAAGCTGGGGAGATGTTTGGCTGGCTCCTTCTTAAGCTAGTGTGGTAATTCTTTCATTTCTGTTACATTAGTAATTATCCAAAATATGAATGATGAGAGTATTATATCCACAGGGTTCTTCTGATCAAGTATATTTCATATTTACTTCTGATAAGTTGCTTCTAAATTTTCATGAATTGCTTAAAAGGGTGAATAGACTCACTTGAATGTGGGTTGGGATTTTTTTCCTAATGTACAACAAGAATTTATAAGCTATTTCTGTACTCAAGTGTTTGTAGCTATAAGCACTCATAATTTATTTTAAAGTATTTATTTATATAATTTTGTGCTTATGAAAATAACTTAATATTTATTTATTTATTTTTATTTAAATATTTATTACAAAATGAAATTTTTAAAGTGCCTTTTAAGTGGTACTCTGAAAATAAAACGAAGTAATGCTCTATTTTTATAGTGTAATGGGAATTCTTTAAGGGTTAAAATACACTTTAGGGGGAAGCTGTAAATTTTGATGAAATTTGAATAAAATTACCTTGGCAGAAACACATCTGTGTTCTCCTGTTTCCTTCTTCAGTTACTTTCTCTTTTAAAGGGAGCCTCAGGATGCTTTAATATTCAGGCAGTAATGTGAGATTAGGGTTTTTGAGAGTTGTTGTTGTTATGTACCATTGAGTTGCCTGTAACTCATAGCAACCCTCTGTACAACAGCCCTAAACCCTGCTCTGTGTTCTGTTGTTTCTGACACACCTACCCCCATTACCCCAAACACTGACTCAATCCATCTCATAGAGGCCCTTCCTCTCCTGCACTGTCCCTCCACCCCCACAAGCATGACATCCCTCTCCAACATGTCCAAAGTATGTCAGACGAAGCTTCAGAATCCTTGCCTCAAAGGAGCAGCCTGATTTAACCCTCTCCAGGATGAACCTGTTCATTCTCTTAGCAGTCCATGGTATATTATCAATCCTCTTCTCCAGCACCACATAACAAAGGCATAAATTCCCCTCCTATCATCCCTAGTACATAGGGTTTTTGGAGGCCTGCTATTTCAGAAGTGGATGGCCAATCCTTCTTCCTAGTCTGTCTTAATCTGAATGTTCAGATATAGAGAAGTATCAGACAGACCAGCATTTTACAGAAAAGTGAAAGCTGTATAGGCCCCCTATGAGGTGGATTGATTTAGTGATTGGGGTAATCGGGATGGGTGTGTCAGAGACGGTGTGATTGGCACAGGACAGAGCAGAATTTAGGGCTGTTGTACATAGGGTCACTATGAGTCACAAGCGACTCGATGGCACACAACAACAACAACAACAACAATCATCCCTAGTCATTGTCCAGCTCTCTGATGCATGCCAAGTGATTGCAAAGACCATGGCCTAGATCAGGCACTCCTTAGTCTCCAGACTGACATCATTGCTCATCATTGTACTTTGGAGAGGTCTCTAACCTAGTTTTCCCCAATACAATAATACGTCTTTTAATTTCCTGACTGCTTGTGCTAAGAGTGTTGATTGTAGACCTAGCAAACTAAGTCTTTTTACAATCTCAGTCTCTTTACCATCTATCACGATACTGCCAATTGGCCCTGTGGTGAGAATCTTTGTTTTCTTGATTGAGTTTCGGTCCATACTGAAGGCTACAGTCCTTGATCTTCTGCAGCAAGCACTTCAGGTCCTCTTCAGTTTCAGCAAGCAGGGTTGTGTCAAAAGACTTTTGAGAGTAGACATTTTTATTTTGGTTCAAAATTTGAACCTAAAGTAATATACATGAAAATGAGGTAGTTTTTTAGCTTTCAGTGTCAGTCAATTCCACCTGAGCCCCCTTCAACATAAGACCCCTCCCCTGGCTTTGTCCCATTTCAGCAGTAGTTTTTAGGAGATCCTCACCCTTTCCCCCTTTGCTTTAAGTTGGGAATATAAGGTTGAAACCAAAGTGATTCTATTTTGCTGACTTTTTGACCCTACCTAAATATGTCCCTCAGTTTCAGGAAACAATAAATAAACTAAATAATGTCTGTCTAGAGACTAAAGTGTACCTGATTCAGGCAGTGGTCTTTGCAATTACTTGGTATGTATCAGAGAGCTGGACAATAGCTAAGGATGGAAAAAGAACTGATTCCTTTGAACTGTCTGTGGTGCTGGAGAACAGGATTGATAATATACCATGTACTGCTAAGAGAACAAACAGGTTCATCCTGGAGAGGGTGAAATCAGGACTGCTAAGAAAACAAACAGGTCTGTCCAAGAGAGGGCGAAACCAAGTTGCTCTCTAGAGAAAAATATTTTGAAGCTCCATTTTACATCCTCCAGGCGTGTTGTCAGGAGGGACCTTTGGAGAAGGACATCATGGTTGGAAGGGTGGAGGGACAGCGTAGCAGAGGAAGACCTTGGATGAGATGGATTGACACAGTGACTAGTGTGATAGTGAGATTGGCTCAGGACAGGACAGAGTTCCGAGCTGTTGTAGAGGGTTGATGTGAGGCTATGAGTTGCAGGCTGCTGGGCTTCACATAACAACAACAACAACACACACAGTTTTATGACCCACCCCAGGAGATAAAACAGGGAGTACTGAAATAATGGAAAATGGTCCCAGGCCCTTCAAACTGTTGTGACTGCCCCCAATCAGCCAATGAAGAATAGATAAATAGCCACTAATATCACATGCAAGCAAGATTCTTCAGAAAATTATCCCAAAAAGACTGGAACAGCACGCCAACAAAGAACGGCTAAATGTGAAGGCTGGGTTTAGAAGAAGCTATGGTATAGGGATATTCTAGCTAATGTTAGACGGATCATGGCTGAAAGTAGAGAGTACCAGAGGAATGTCTATATGTGTATTATTGACTATGCAAAAGTTTTTGACTGTGTGGATCACAACAAACTGTGGCTGACTCTGAGAATAATGGGAGTCCCAGAACACTTGATTGTGCTCATGTGGAGCCTATACTTGAATAAGGACATAGTCATCAGAATAGAGCAAGGAAACACTGCATGGTCCAAATCAGAAATATTAAATGCCAGGGATATGTCCTATTCTCTGTACCTTTACAATCTAATATGCAGAACAGATCATCTGAGAGGCTGGGTTCTGTGAGGAGGAGTGTGGCATCAGGATTGGAGGAAGACTCATCAACAACCTACGTTATGCAGATGACACAATCTTGCTTGCTAAAACTGAGGAGGACCCAAAGCATTTTCTGCAGAAGGTCAAGGACTATAGTCTTCAGTATGGATTGAATCTCAACATCAAGAAAACAAAGGTTCTTAGCACTGGGCCGATTGGCAGAATCATGATAGATGGTGATGAGATTGAGATTGTTAACAGCTTCAGTTTGCTTGCCTCCAAAACCAACACTCTTGGTGCCAGCAGTCAGGAAATAAAAAGAAGCATTCCATTGAGAAAAGTCTACTGCCAGGGACCTCTTCAGAGTACTGAGAAGCAACGATGTTAGTCTGGAGACTATGTTGCACCTGATCCAGGCCGTGGTCTTCACAATTATGTGCTATGCATCAAAAAGCTGAACAATGTCTAGGAATGAAAGGAGAGTTGATGCCTTTGAGCCATGGTGCCAGACAAGAGTATTGAATATACCATAGACTGCTAGAAGAACAGGTTCATCTGAAGAGAGGTTGAAACCAAGCTGTTCCTTGGAGGCAAGGATTCTGAAGCTCTGTTGGACATACTTTGGGCATGTTGCATAGAGGGACCAGTCTTTGGAAAGGGACATCATGCTTAGGAGGGTAGAGGGAGAGTGCAAGAGAGGAAGATCCATGATGATATGGACTAAGTCAGTGACTGGTGGACTAAGGGCAGGTATGTAGTTAGGAAATAAAAAAGCGTATCGCGATGGGAAAGTCTGCTGTTAGGGACCTCTCTAAAGTACTCAGGAGCAACAGTGTCTCTCTGGAGACTAAGGTGCGCCTGATACAGGCCATGGTATTTGCAATCGCTTGTTATGCATCAGAGAGTTGGACAATGACTAGGGAGGACAGAAGGAGAGTGGATGCTTTTGAGCTGTGGTGCTGGAGAAGGGTACTGAATGTACCATGGACTGCCAGGAAAACAAACAGATTTATCTTGGAGAGGATTAAACCAAGCTACTCCTTGGAGGCAAGGATTCTGGGGCTTCGTCTGACATACTTTGGACATGTTGCTAGGAGGGACGGGTCCTTGGAGAGGGACATCATGCTTGGGAGGGTGGAGGGACAGCGCAGGAGGGGAAGACCCTCTATGAGATGGATTGATTCGGTGACTGGGGTAATCGAGATGGGTGTGTCAGAGGCAGTGCGGTTGGCACAGGATAGGGCAGGGTTTAGGGCTATTGTGCATAGGGTCACTATGAGTCGGAAACGACTGGACGGCACATAACAACAACAACAAACATGTCAGAGACAATAAGGTTGGCTCAGGATAGAGCAGAGGTCAGAGCTGCTATACATAGGGCCACTATGAGTCGCAAGCAACAAGACGGCACATAAGAACAATAAAATTTCTCTTTTGAGCTTCAGTCTGCTTTCACCCAAGTGTGCATTTTAAATAAAGCATATCTGCAATTTAAAAAATAGAGCATTTTGCCCCTTAATAGCCATAACTCTAAAAGCATTCTGCGTTAGACAAATACCTAATATCTTTTTCAAGGGTGGAAAATGTCATTAAATCCTTCTCACTTTTGTGAGCCTTTGGATTCGCAGGAGGAAGTTGTTTAGAAATCACAATCACAGAAATTTCATTTGCGTCAAATTACTTACTTTTTGCCCGAACCACGTGGGTAATTGCCTTGCCTTCACTTTACAGAGGTGCTCTGATGACCTAAATATTAAAACAATCTTCTTTACTCTCTAAACCATATAAATTTTAGAAAGTTTCACCTGACAGACTATCATTTCAGTGCTTTGAAAAAGATATACATACTTATTGTGT